TGCCACTGCTAAAAGGGCCATGGCGTCTATGGAGTTGTGCCACTATTCTACATCCAGCACGTCAGAGGCCCTGGTGCATAAAGTTGCTTCCATCTATAAACAGCTCCCACTGAGCCTCTGACAGGCTGGAAAGACAAACCTGGTCAACTAGCATACATAATTTCTAGAGTCTTCAGGTAGTTATTGGTTAGAGTCCTATCCTCAAGGTTTTCCATATGGCTTGGGAGCAAGATAGCTAGATTCAAATTAATTAATGACCTTCAATTGTACATTGAGATTACTAGTAGGGTGGTTTAATCTTTACCAATGAGCCCAGCAGTCAGCCAAATTCCACCTTTCACCCTAACATGACGATGTGGCACATACTTAAGAATGGGCTGAACCAAGAATGGGCTGAACTACTTTTATGCATCATGTAGAAGTGCCAGCAGACATTGATGTCATCCCTCAGTAATGTGATCTAGTTGTTTGGGTAGATATTCAATGGGCTGTATTTCTGTTCGCAATATTTGCATCATCATTCCCAGCCTAACTTCCTGCCTTACATGGATATAAAGGCTTAAAGGCTTCCTGTGGTCTGGCAACCCTATGGCGAGTGTTTCAACTTTTCCTTTACTCATCAAAGACCCATTGGCATTCAGGAGTCCAATACAAATGTTCAGAGTCCAGGTCTTCGAGGGTTTTGAAAATACATTTAACAATAAGTCCAAATTTGTGGATTCAAATCCTCTAAAACCTAGCCATTCCCAAATCCATGTAACTGCCTTAAATTGCTGGGGACTTTTTTTTTTTTTTTTAATAACAGTTTATTTTTACATCATTTTGTACATTTTTTTTTTCCATCTCAATTGTAATCCCCGTGGGTTTCCAAATTGCTGGGGACTTTTAAAGCAGAAACCAAATGTTCCTCTTAATCATGAGACTTTGTTTGCCCTTTCAAATTTCAAACCCCAGGTATGCTACCTTTTCCTTGCATATCTGGGCCTTCTGGGGTGACATCTGGTAGTCATATTCTGCTTGGTGTGGTTCAAAACCAATATGATACTCCAAACAGGAGTTATAGTCAGGATTTGCAATCAGTAGGTCATCACATATTGTAAAGAGGATGCTGTTTCAATTGGATATTTCAAATTAAGCCATTGTTTCCTCTAAAATAATTGGAGAATTCTTAAACCTTTGATGAAGCACAGTCCAGCAGTGTTTTCAAGTACTCTTGGACACAAGTCCCTGCCTCTCAAAGGCAAATATTTTGATCGTGGGTATCTTCTGTGACATAGAGAAAGGCATCCTTTAAGTCCAACACAGAAAACCAAATGAAATCCTCAGGCATGGCAGTCAGAAAGGCATCAGGATTTGGCAAGGTTGGGTGTATGCCCTGAGCAATGTAATTAATGATCCTCAATTCCTGTACAAAATGATACTCAAAATGGTATTCAAGGGTGTACCTTTACTGGTAATATCAGGGTGTTGTAGGGGGAGCAACAAGGTGAACTGAGACCATATTAAAGCAACTTTTTCAATACCCAGAAGATATACAATCAATTCCCTCTAATTCCATTTTAAAAAATTCATAACTCTCCCTTTTCTTACTCCATGTGTAAATAAGTCTTTTTATTGTTGTTTCTCATAATGTGTCTGCTTTTGGGTCATGCCTTGAACTCTGGTGATTTAATTTGGTGATTTAAACTGCCACTATAGTATTTTATCTATGCAAAAGTATTCAATTACCCTATGAGTAGAGGCACTGGAAGGGAGTAAAGCCCAAAGGAGAAAGTAACATTCTCTAAAAAATAAGGCCTATGGGAAATTCAGCTACCATCCCAAAAGTTTCTGTAATCTTATCTCATTCAGCCCTGTTATTGCCCCTTTCACACTCCAATTTTGCCAATAGAGAAACCCAATACAACCAAATACCATTTTATTCAGGATTTGAGGGATAGTCCAGGACATACATCCAACAATGCCAAATACTTATATCCTGGTAACTATTATATCTGGGTATTTCTGCTGATCCTCAGTACCAGACTTGAAGAATATCATTTCTGCATCCCAGTAGATATCTAGTATCAATTACTCTTTATTTTGAATGGCAGAAACCCTTTAAATCACTACTACTGTATAATACTGCTGTACTGTGCTTCTGTAAGGGTTTAAGCATTTTCCAACTATATTTGGAGAAACACTGGCCAGAGAGCTCAGAAAGGTTCAACTAAAATGGAGCATATTCCATCAAAATGTAGATGACTTACTATAAGCCAGTCCTCGCTATAAATTTTGTCTGGACAATAATATATTGGTTTTAAGCCATTTGGCAGAACATGACTAAAAAGTGTCACCATAATATAAAGATATGTATACAAAAGTTAGCATATTTGGGACTTGAGATCAAGAAAGGCAAATTAAGCATATATTGGAGAAAGCAGGTGATTTCATCTCTTAAAATCCTTAGGAATGGAAGGCAGTTAAATGGATTTTAGGGAACGGCTGGGTTTTGCAAAATTTGGATTCCCATCTTTAGACTAATAAACCTTATATGAAGCCCTCAACCCCCAGACTTAAAACCTTTGTTTTGGACTCTTGAATGTCAGCAGCTTTTAAGAAAATAATGGAAGGCTGATCTCAGCCCCAAACTTAGGACTGCTAGATCCCACAAAGCCATTCCAGCTCTATGTGTATGAGAGACAGGGAATTGGCCTGCACATGCTAATCCAATTATTGGGACCACTTGTTTGAGCTGTAGCTGCTAATGTGACATTTGCCTGAAGCAGAGAAATTGGCCTTAGGATAGCCCATCACTGTGTATGTATCACACCAGGTTTTGACACTGTTAGAAAAGAAGGGCAGACTTTGGTTGAATGCTGGATGCATGGGAATTATCAAGTAGTTCCACTGGATAATACCAGTGGCATTGTGAGACCCTAGCTCTTTAAATCCAGTTGTCTTGCTTCCAACCAATGGAAGCCAACCAGATTTGCCTGACAGAGCTCTGCCATATCCAGAGTGGGAGCTGTCTATAGATTGGAGCAGTTTTATGAGACACAAACGATAAGCACTGATGATACTTCTAGATACCACAGAAGCCAAGGTCTTAGCAGCAGGTTTGTTGGCATAGAAAACTGAACTGATAACCCTAACTCAAGCCCTGGAATTCTCTCAAGGTAAGAAAATACACTGACTCAAAGTATATCATAATTCATTGTTGTACACATCCACGGCCCTAACTATTGCCAGCAATAAAGACATTAAGGCAAAGGAGTGAATCTGAAATAGCAAAAGGTATCAGAGTATCCGATTATATTGCAAAATCATCTACTTATCCTGCTTTCCAACCGGTGATGCCTGGTCTCTACAAAAAGAGACCCATATAAGCCAACGGTTGTGAACTTAATCTAAAATCCTATTATGAAAAGTTGTAACAAAGCCAAAAGCAATTCTTTTGGCTTGGTTATTCTGTCCTATGAGGTTATGCAAATAGATGAAATGCAAATAGATGAAATAGGTTGAAATTATATTTAGCTTACCAATGCCCAGCACGTGTTTGTGTGTGTGTGGGGGGGGGGGGTTTGGGTGGTGGATGATGGCAACATTTACTGAGCTGGGAGAGGAATATGTGTTGACCATAGTTAAGTTCCATAAAATATTAACTAGTCCCTATGAGCTAGGTACTGCTCTTAAGCTCTTAACTCAGTTATCTGATGAGAGTCACCCTGTGATTGGTGCCACAGTGTAGGAGGGTTCAACAAAAGAACCAATGAAGGAGGAAAACTGAAGTGTGAAGTCACAGAAACCAAACGGGTGGGGTGGGTGGGAGTTTGGAGGGAATGCTCTGCATTATCAGATGTTCCTCTAGGGCAGAGAGGCACTGACTTGACTGCTGCCTTTGTAACACTACTGCAGGTGGCCTGGAGAAATGTCATTCTAAGAGCCTGGTGGAATGTCCACCCCAGTCCACGGAGCACAGAATGGAAAGTGAGAAGTCCGCAGTGGATCTATGCTACTTTTCATAGGACTTTGGCTTTAGGGTCTAGAGAAGGCTCTAGCTGGACTTTAAGATGACCATGCAGTACCTGTTTGGCTGTCGGCTGTAACAAAAAAGGTGGTGGGAAGAGGGGTGGGGGTGGGGGGAGGGAAGCGGGCGCTGAAAGTTCTGAGTAAAGTCTAAACAACAGCGGCAGCATTGCCCCTGAGAAGGCCAGAGGGCCGGCAGTCAGGCACAAGAGGAGGACTTCACACTACTTACTCCATGTATCCACGGTTCTGCTCATCAGCAGACCAGCGACCTGTCCCTAATCTCGCGGGGCTCTCGGTAGAACACAGACTGCTGGTGCAGGAACCACGACTCCCGGTGGGCTTTGCGCGGCCGCCAGTGCGCAAGCGCGCACGCAGCTCCGCCTCTCACTCCCCGCCCCGGTTCTCGGCTAGGTCTTCAGACGCCAGAGTGACGGGTTCTTCTTAAAGGAGAAACGGCGGAGGCGCGTTGGGTGGGCCCCAGTCCTGAGCCGCTCTCGGGCCTGCGCGGGAAGCTGTGGGAGTGTAGGCGGCGCAGGCGCAGTTGGGGCAAGGGTGGGTGGGTGCCAGGTAAGGTATGGGTGAGTGGGTCGCGGACGCCGCCGCTGCGGGCGACCCAGGAGCCGCTTTGGGGGTTGGCCTATGCTACACACTAAGCGGGGCGGTTAGGACATTGGAGGGGGACGCCATCCGGCCCCCAACCCGTCCCCATCGACGGGTGAAGAATGCTAGGTGCACCAGGCTTCACCTTTTTCCCACTTATGAGGAAGAGGCCCTTGTCCTCTCCGGATAGAAATGTGATCCCACCCCACCCCACCCTTCCCTTTGCTCCAGCCTCACACCAAGTGGGCCTGGGCCAAAACACTGCTCTGCTTTGACCTTGACTCAGTGCCCCCATCACCCTCCTCAAGGCACAGTTCCCCGAGTGTTGCTTACAAGACTTGTCTTGGTGGTTCAGACCCAAGGCAGCAGACGCTGTTGGAATGATTTAGCCTTGCCCCAATTGACTGCTGAGGGACTGATCCCGAGAGCGAGAGCAGGTGGTAGGAGCAAACTGGGCCCCCTATCACAGACGGATTGGACCTTTCTCATGCATGTCATGTTCCCCCCTTCCCCCAGGCCTGATGCTCATGGCTACGTCCCTGGCAGAGTCATCAAGCAGGCGGAGGGAGAAGAGGAGACAGCTGGATGCACGCCGGAGCAAGTGCCGCATCCGTCTTGGTGGCCACATGGAGCAGTGGTGCATCCTCAAGGAGAGACTGGGCTTCACTCTTCATTCTCAGCTTGCAAAATTCCTTCTGGACCGGTTAGGGCTCAGGGCTGGGGCTCTGGGGTGGATTTCCAACCCTGGACCACGAGCTTGCTCCCTTCTTTCCACCCACAGATTTCTTATTTTAGCAGAGTGGCTTTTGAGATTTGTGGCCTTTCAGGGTCCTGTCCCCCTTATCTTGGCCCCCAGTGAATGGTTCCTTAAGTATATGTGTCCAGAGCTAAGGACAGTTGCCAGCTGGGCCTGACCTGACCTGCCTCTTGTTCCCCTGGTAGGTACACTTCTGCAGGCTGTGCGCTTTGTGCAGGTAGGTAGGAAATGGCTGGGGGGTAGGGACTTGGGAACCAGAGTGGGGGAAGAGGGATGACAGAGTGGTGTGATATGGATATATCCTCTGTAAGTTAGCTGGATCAGAGGAAACCCTTTTTTGAGTTTGGGAAGAGGTGGGGAAGTTAGGAAGTCTTGGGGGTCTGAGCTCTGAAGAATGGTAACTCCCAGGTTACCCAGGGAGTTGGAGGGACAAGTGTCTGGGTGTGGTTCTGCAAGGAGAGAGAAGGAAGTCTCTTAGCTCACCCTTTTACCCTCGCCCCTCCAGGTGCTGAGCCTTTGCCCCCCAAGGGTCTGCAGTATCTGGTACTCCTGTCTCATGCCCACAGCAGAGAGTGCAGCCTGGTGCCTGGGCTTCGGGGTCCTGGGGGCCAAGATGGGGGATTTGTGTGGGAGTGCTCTGCTGGCCACACCTTCTCCTGGGGCCCTTCTTCAGGCTCCACACCTTCAGAGGAGCCCAGACCAGTTCCCCTTCCAAGTACTGCCCAGAGAAGCTGGTGTCCAGAAAAGCAGAAGCCTGTAGGTAGGATGGGGTAAAGAAGTTGTGGGGAAAAGGGAGGGGAAAAAGTTCCCCATTTCGTTGAGATAAGAATCCCATTCACTAAAAATGTCTTTCTCAATGGAAGAACTCTATGCTGACAAAGAAGTATATCCTCAAATATATTTTTAAAAATAAAATAAAAATACAGAATAGGATATATGGTATGCTATCAGTGGGAGGAGGCTATATATTTGTATATATTTATAAGCTTAAGGTATATGTAAGAAACCATGTTGCCTGTGCTAAGAACTAAGTGGCTGAATTAATTTTTGGAAGGAGACATCTCAGTTTGTTTTTAACAATGTGCATGTATCATTGTTAAAATATCTACTCCCCCCCCCCACTCCTGTAGCCGCTGTCCCCTCCTCTTTATTAAGAGTCCTCCCAACACCTCCACATGTCCTCAGTAGACTAGTCCAGAGTTTCCTTTGAGTTCCCCTATGTCAACAGGTTTAGAATCTGAGCATGGTGAGAAGAATCAGGAGACCAGGTTATCCAGGTGAGGCTGGAGGTTAAAGGGCCATGATAGACCCGGGTGGACAGTGGGGGTGAGGGAATAGGACCTTAAGCTTCCTTTCCTTGATCTTGTAGAGGGATAGGATCCCCACTGGAGACCACCTTGCTCCCAGGAGAAGAGGAGGAGGAGGAAGATGATGATGAAGAGGAGATGCTCAGTGATGCCAGCCCATGGACCTACAGTTCTTCCCCAAATGAGCAAGTTGGGGCTGAGGGAAGGGGCATGTGACTGGGGAACCCAGAGCTTTGCAGACTCAAATGAAGAGCTTATTGGTGGGAAAGGAGGGTGAGCTTTGCAGAAGGCAGAAAGAATTACAGACTTCAAATTGAAATGGAAAGGGGTGATTTTATACCAAAAGAGTTTTGAACAGATTGCCCATAGTAGGGGTTAGATTGTTTCAAATTTGGGATATTTGCCATTTAGGGGCAAGGTTGGATTGGGGCTGTCTGAGTGGCAGGAACATAATGCCTTCTTCCTCTTCGTTCCCCATTTAGCAGTGAACAGGATGCCCCCATGTCACCCCCTTCTCCTGTTACCCACCCACTTAAGGATGGAGAGACACCCTCCACTCCAGCAACTACTCCTACACTTCTTGCTGTGCCACCTTCACCAGCATCCTCATTGGGTTCTGGAGCTCCTCTGCCTGTGGATGTGGAGATACAGCCAGAGCTCAGTGGAAGCACTCAAGCAACACAGCCAACTGAGCCCCTGGCCAGGTAACCTCATGGCTGAGACAGAGGGCAGGGGCTCTTGGGATATGGCACTTCTCTCAGGGACCTCTCTTCCCTCTTTGCTGCCCATAGCCCTGGAAGTCATACCCAGTCTACTCTTTCTTTGTCCTGGGATGAGACCGATACTGTGCAGATTGGCCCCAAGAGAATTAGGTAGGACTGGGGATGGCATCGGGATGAGGACCAGAGGTGGGAGGCAGAGAGGCACTCACATGATCCTCCCCATTCTTCCTCCAGGAAAGCTGCCAAAAGAGAACTGCTACCTTGTGACTTCCCTGGCTGTGGAAGGATCTTCTCTAACCGGCAGTATTTGAATGTGAGGGTGTGAGGGGTACAGTTGGGCTTTTTTATGTCCAGGAAAGATAAGGACAGAGAGAAGCTGAGATACAGCAGCATGGATGTGGCAGAATTTATAGCCAGGGTAAGGAGGATTGGGTTGGCCATGCAGAGCTTGCCTCATACAGAAAACCAAGGCTTCCTGCCTGGACTGCTTTCTGCACAGCCCTCCCAAGGACTGTGGCAGTGACTGCAGAAGCATTCCTCAGGCTCTTGGGTGCTAGCCCAGTTCTAAGCCCTTGATGTGAGTCAAGTCTTTTCTTCTTCATGATATCTCCTTTGAATAGGTGGTGATACTATTCCTGGTTTGCAGATGAGGAAGTCAGGGTACCCCAAAAGGTGAAGTGTTGTCCAAAGCTCCTTAGCTACTGTGTGATAGGGTTGGATTTCCTAATTCCACATTTACCCTCGCCTTGCTGGCTTGTATGGGTGCTCCTAGCAAGAGAAGGAAGGTAGCACTGTCCTCACTGTCACTACTGCAGAAAAGATTTGACAGAGCTGTTGTGATGTCAGCCCCACAGTCAGCCAGTGCCCTTGTGTGCCAGGTCCTGTGGCTGCTGGAGGGCCCAGACCATAGGGAGGCATGGGAAAAAGGGAAACCAGGGAAGTTTCCAAGTAATAGTGAAACTGTGGATTGAAAAGACATTTCAGCAGGCCTGGTCAGGAGTATTTGTGTCCATTGTGGAGGAGACTGAGGAGCCCCTAGCAGCAGTTTCATTTTGAGAAAGTGAGATTACAGAGAAGGTGAAAGCCACACACCACGATGTGAAATTAGACCTGATCTAAAGGAGGTTAAGAACACATTACCTTTAATAGTGTTCAGGCTGAAAGTGTGTGTACTTCCAAAGAATTAAGTAAAATCATACATACCCATGGTGAACTATTAATGTGTAGGCGATCTAGTACATTAACACTGGTCTGGTAGAGGACAGTCATATCCACGCAAAATGGGTTTCCATCCTCAGCAGACAATGAATCCATGATTAGGGAACCAGAAGTGTCAGCATAGTGGTACTTTGTACAAGGTATTGCAAGATGAGAGGTGGCAAGGGGAGGAGATTGTGAAATATGAAGACAGAGTTTGGGTTCAAGGATGGGGTTGGGTTATTTGGGAGTTCAGGGATGAGATTGTAGGTGAAAGTTGTTCAGGATGACATGAACTGGCAGTGATGGGAAAACTGCTAGGAGATGAGGGGAATGGCAGAGGAACCTGCCTGCTGAGTCAGTTCTGGTAGTCACCTGAGGAGACCACTTGCTTCCTTCTCTAGCATCACAAGAAGTACCAGCACATCCACCAAAAGTCCTTCTCCTGCCCAGAGCCTGCCTGCGGGAAGTCCTTCAACTTTAAGAAACACCTAAAGGAGCATGTAAAACTGCACAGTGGTGAGTGGTAGAAATGCCCTCTCACCTCCTCTCTGTGGGTCCCTTTGCTTCTTCCATGCGATTTGTCATCTCCCTTTCTGTGGAACCTGTAACCTCTGAGGTCCACTATCTGTACATGCTTCCATATCCCTCTGTGGCAATCTCCCTCTCACCCTGTATTCTCTGTACCTTAGCATCTTCCTGCTTGATGCTATTCTAGGTGCTGGTACATATCAATGATCAAAATAAGCATTGCTCACCTCCTAGAACATGTGCATTAGTGATACAGTGTTATAAGATGTGGAAGCAGGGGGAAAAGAAGAGAGCATGAGGAAGAACCTGACTTGTTTTTGTAGAAAAGGAAGTATTCTGAGCAGAGACCTAAGTGAAGGGAGGAATGGAGACCTGTCCATGCTTTAGGCAGCATGTGAGAAGGCCCAAACTGTCATCTTCATGTATATTTCAGGAATAAAGAGGTTAGAAAGGAAAGCGAGGTGGTTAGATGAGTGGTTGGGGTCTCCACGATGACCATCGGGATGGCTTCATTGATGCCTGGATAAGATGGTCCCATGTCAGGGGCTCGAGTATCAACTTTAAGAGAACACTGCCACCACTGTGTGGAGTATAGGGGGCTGTAATAGTCTAGTGCTCGATGATGATGTGTGGGGCATGTGGGGAGTGAGGCAGGTAACAAGTGGTGTCAGAGGAGGCAGGTGGAGAAAGTGCTCTAGGAAGGGAGGTGTGAGCTTTGCCCAGGGCCAGCTCAGTAAAGTGAAGGTGAGAACAGGTAATTGTCATGGCAACTGGAGTGGGAAAGAAATGGAAAGCCATGCTTTTCCAGATGGCAAGATGGTATGTGATAAGGGAGATGGCAGTTAGAATGAAGTGGGTTCAAGGCAAAGAGGTGCTAAGGAAGTAGAGACAGAGAATATAGTCCGTTGGAAGTTTCATTGTGAAGATGAGCAGAGAAAAGGAGTCTTTGCTATGAGCTCAGGGCACAGAGATGATGATGGGACTGAGTACACATATGGGAAAGACTGGTGCTGCGGTGAGTGGAGACAACCTTGTTGGTGAGGAGGGGTGTGTCTCAGAGGGAGGACAGCCATCAGGGATCAGGAAGTATTCTCAGAGCAAGAGGGCTGCTGGGTTAGGTGAAGAGAGGATGTGGTATTCTCTCTTCATGCTTTTTCTCTGAGGACTTAAAACCCAAGACTGCTGCTGAAAATCTGGTGGAGAGAAGAGGCAGTATGGAAAATGGCCCTGGAGTCTAGAAAAAAGTGCAGCAGCATGGAGGGTGGGGTACTGTTGGGACTTAAGGTTGTCAATGAAAGAAAAGGCAGGAATGGGAATGAAGATGTGGGTTTTTTCCTACTCACCTCAGCAGACATGCACAGGCCTGAGGCAGGCCAAGGTTGTTTAATCTGACTTGGGTTTTAATGAGGCAGGTACAACTGAGAGAGTCAGATGCATTGCAATGTGAATGAAGGCAAGCTTCAAAGACAGCTCCAGAACTGAGAGAAGGGTAGGGAGACAATGGCAAAGTAGCAGGATGATGGCCTGGCAGCCTGGAGTCCCAAGATTATTGCAGTAGGACAAGGTCGGAGCCCTGGCTAGACCTGAAATTCTTGGAATTACAATTTCCAGGTGGTGCATGTTGGGAAATGAAATGGAATGACGACAGCTCAGGGTCAATGAGGTCAGGAAATAAAAGTGGGGGGGGGGGGCTAGGCATGGAACAGACAGACTGCAGCAGAAGTAGAAGTGGAGGAGAGGACCTGGGACCCAGAGCACAGATGATGGGGTGAAGGCCCAGGAGTATACTTGTGGACTAATAGTGGTGTTAAGAGTGGTGGATCAGAGGTCTAATGGATACCTTAAGGATGAGCCTCTGCCATAGGCCCTGAGGTCAGGAGATACTGGAGAAAACCAGAGCTGGCCTGAGAGCAGCCAGATACAGGCAGCAGGCAAGTGCTATGAGAGCAGGTAGAAAGGGAAGGTTCTAGGAAAGAGGAGGGGAAGCTGACTTAGTGGCAGGTGGCCACTAAGCTGCTGGCAGCTCTTTTGAAGGGCCCTATTGAAGGCGGGCTGGGAGATGCAGGCTCGGTGGGAACAGTCTTTTGAGGGTGGTGGGCAGGGGTGCATAGGAGGGTCCAAAGGTGTGGATGAATGCTGAGCTGTCTCCAGTGTACCTGCAGACACCCGGGACTACATCTGTGAGTTCTGTGCCCGGTCCTTCCGCACTAGTAGCAACCTCGTCATCCACAGACGCATCCATACTGGAGAGAAACCTCTACAGTGAGTTTGGAGTGAGGGGACCTGTGAGGGAGGAGCTACCGTGGCAGCTGGGGGCAGGAGAAACCTGTGGGGAAGTCAGGACAGGCTGAGACCTTTCCTTCCCTCTGCTGCTGTCTCTGGCTCAGGTGTGAGATCTGCGGGTTCACCTGCCGACAGAAGGCCTCCCTGAACTGGCATCGGCGCAAGCATGCAGAGACGGAGGCTGCCCTGCGCTTCCCCTGTGAGTTCTGTGGCAAGCGCTTTGAGAAGCCTGATAGTGTCACAGCTCACTGCAGCAAAAGCCACCCAGCCCTGCTTCCGGCTCCACAGGAGTCACCCAACCCATTGGAGCCCTGTTCCAGCATCTCTGTCCCTGAGTTCCAGGGGTCCAGGCCCTTTCTGGCTCCTCAGACTCCAACCCTGCTCCCTCAGCAGTGAGCATTCCCTGGGCTTTGGGGAGCCAAACCCCCAGAACTGAAAAGAAGCAAAGGGAAAGGCAACCATATGGTGCTCAGGAACTGGGGTGACAGGCACAAGCAGTGTGGACAAGACTGGGCTCAAAGGGAGCCAAACTTCTTTAGCCTACCGAGAGGACAGAATAAACCCAGTTTTTCTTATGGACATGTGTGGGCATAGTGCTGTTTTGGCACCTGAGGTACAGGAATCCTGACGCTTTTGGAAACAGGACCTGCTAGAATGTATGTGAATCATGAGTACACTGTAGATGTGGACTTTGTTCCTCTACACCCCTCCCCCTTCCCCTGCTCCATCCCAAGAACCCAGCTCTCTTCTCCAGTTCACTTTGGCATTTTGCAGCCCTTTCCTGTGGACTGTTAACACCAATCTTGGACTCAAGCAGGGCAGGTTATGACAGTATTAAGAGCACTGGGTCATTCCTGAAGAACAGGCTGGAGCAAAAGCAGAGGTACTTGATGTTGTCTACTTCTGTATTCTCTACAGCCAAGAAAACCAAATGAATAAGCTCTCAGAGAGTCTCATCTTCCAGTACAAAAAGGAGGGGGGCTAATGTACAGCACCACTGAGATCTACCGTAGGGTGTCAGAAGAGCCTGGCTCTTGGGTTCATTCATGAAATCTACAAAGAGAGTAGCCCTAGGTTTGACAAAGGCAGCTCTTGGTATCTGGAATCCAAACAACTCTTTATTTTAATAGATATAGGAAAAACATCACTGGCCAAATCCAGAGAATTTTCCATCCTGGGGAACCTCATTTCCCTATGGCTCCAAATTTCGCTGGAAATAGCATTCTGATGCTTTACTTTATATGAGTACTGGCTGTGTGGACCTGTGTAGTCTTGGCCAAGTCCCAGGCTAATATCCCCCACCTGGCTGGAGAACACTTACCTGAAAGGCACCTCAATCTGGACATTATCAGGTTTGGCTCATGGGACGGTAGCAGCCGTGCTGAGGGCTCCCACCCATCTTCATGTGGATGGGTCAGCTCTGCAAGGCTCAGGCTGAGTACTTCTGGAGTAGAAATGCCTTTCCTTTCTGAAGTGAGCTTTCCCATAATCTCTCTGCCTGCAAATTTCCCATCTCAGAAGCTGGGGTTGAAGGCAGCTTCTGAGTGGTACCAAGAGGCAAGAAGTCCATGGGACAGGTGGCATGTGATCATGGCCACATCTACGATATTCCCCTAAAGAGTCAAGAGAGTAAAATTACCTGGGGAGGAGAGGTTGAGAGTACTCAGACTGGCAAAAGGAGATGGACAAGAGAAGACGGAACACAAGTGGAAAAACAGGAAAGTAACCCCTAAGAGCACAGCAGCAGCAAGGGGACACCAGTACCTGGCTCTCTTCCATGAGTGAGGACTGAGAAGTGTTCCCAAATGACTGGCTGCACTGGCATCCCAGTGAGAAAGGATGACACAAGAACTTGCAAGGGAAGCAGGTGTAGGAGCAAAGCATGGAGCCAGCCAGGTGAAGGGCTTCCAGAGGAGTGGAAATGCTGCAGCCACACCATCCACAGACCCATGTGTGGTTTGCCCCGATGTCCCTAACGCAGTGTGTAGGTGCTGGCCCAGCTCACTTCAGAGATGCCTCTCAGCAAGTCTCTCTCAACTGTGCCATAAGTACTGGCTTTTCCTGTTTTGCCCACTCAGCAAATGAGGGCAGTACCAACAGTGCCATTGGGGTCGGGGGTGGGGACAGCACTGGCAGCCACCACCCAAGCATAAGTCTGGGCACGCTGGTGTGATGGGGAACAACTGTGACTGAAGCACTTGCCACACTCGGCACATTCTGCAGGCTGCTTGCCCAAGTGTGTCTTATGGTGCAGTTCCAGCTTGCAGCTTGGAGCCCACACTGAAGGCCTTGCCACACTCAGGACATTTGTGGGGCTTGTGGCCAGCATGGTTGTGGTAGTGCACATTGAGGTTGGACATGCAGGTGAAGCACTTGCTGCACAGCTCACAGCAGTAAGGCTTCTCACCTGTATGTGTGCGCCTATGCTTGGTGAGAGAGATCTGAGCAGTCACTGAAGGCCTGGCCACAGACAGGGCATTGGAAAGGCTCCTCACCTGTGTGGATGTGCTGGTGCACTACCAGGTCTGAGTGCTGCCCAAAGCCCTTGCCACACGTGGAGCACATGCAGCCGTTCACCCAGGTGGCTGCGCTGGTGGCACGGCAGCATAGAACTCTCGCTGAAGTTGTGTCCGCGGTCACTGCAGGCATAGGGCTTCTCACCAGCCCATGTGTGTACGCTGATGGTGCACCAGAGTGGGGCTTTCCAAGAAGCCTTTGCCACATTCAGGGCACTTAGAGGGCTTCTCACCAGAGTGCATCTGTAGATGTCACCTCGAGGTGGAGCTCTTGCTGAAGCTCTTGCCACATATGCTACATTGGTGCAGGTCCCAGGCCAGTGGCTTCTGGGGTAGGGCGTCACCAGAGTTCCAGGCCACATGGGCATGTATGTGGTTCAGCAGCCCTGCACTGCTGCAGTAGTACAGTGGTTGGAGCTGGGTGATGGTGTGACAGAGGGTCCCCACTGGTGCACCCACTCCAGGTGGAAGCGCAGCACACTGGCAGAAGATACAGGTGTGCAGGGGAAATCAGCAGGGCTTCTCTGGTGGATGCCCACGATGCTGGCTTAGAAACTGCAGGGTGATGTGTGAAGCGCTGGCCACAGGTGTGGCAGGAACAGGAGCAGCTCTGCCACTGATGCTCACTTTAGTGTAAATCAAGGCAGCCACTGTGATGAACTCTGTCCATACTTGCTGCAGATGTAAAGCTTCTGGCCACGTGGGCATATTGGTGGGAGCAGAGGTCTGCTGCCCCTGCACAGTGCTTACCACCATGGGCATGCTCGTGAGCTGCCCCGTGGAACTGTAGTGGAAGCTCTTACCACATTTGCTGCACACATAAGGCCTGCTGGCCACTGCCCCCTCTGATGCAAGCAGCATTGTAAAGTCCTGACCACAGCACCTGTGGGGTGCAGACTGTAATCAATCCTGCAGGAACGCATGCCACTTACACTCCCAGGTCGGTCTCCTACCATTGTGGGTTTCTTTCAGTTTTCGTAGAGTCTGAAAAGGGAGCAGTCAAAGGAAAGGGGGAGACATGGACAACTGGCTGCATATTCCCGGGCCCCATCCCTCACAGGTAGGTGACGTGGCTGTTATGGAAGTGGGCTGCAGCCATGTTCTTCCTGCATCTTGAGCCCTGCAGGGATAATGTAACTGTGAGTCCCACTAATACCCTACAACAGCTCATCTTCGAGAATGGCAGGGCAAGCACACACTATTTCTTGTAACTTCCTCAGCTAGCCAGCTCCTAGATTCCATTCTCCAAGAGGAGGCAAAGCCATAGGAATCCAAGAAATATGGGATGGAGAGGAGTGGGAGGTCTTGAACAATCAGGAAGGGCAACGGAGCTCAGATGTGGAGCCCCCCATCTCTCTTATTACGAGAGCCATTAACAGATTCAGGAAAAAAGGAGGTATACTTAGCCTTAGACGAAGTATCTTAGCCTAGACATACAGTAGGAAAATACCAAGAAGGAATAGGACGTTGACACCACACCAATACCTCTCATCTGAGGCCCAACTTTTTTTGTATTAACAATGTGAACCCAGCCATACCTGAGCTGGAAGAGCAGTGAATTAAAACATAAATAGTACAGCAGTGGTAACCAGGACAAAAGCTCAGAAAATGCTGGGGCCTATCCGAAGGAAAGAAGAAAAAAGGTACTGCTTTTTCAAAGTAATTGCTCCTTGGCTTTGGGCAGTGTCTGAGAAACTATCAATCAGTCCATACTAGTGCATATCCCAAATATTCTCTGGCCTAGCCTTGAGAAAGAAACTCAGGATCCAGAAAAGGAACATGGTTAATACACAAAAAAATATTGTCCAAAGTTGATAGCGTTATCCAAAAGTGATTTTCACATACTCATGGAAGGCTGGAAGAAGGGACATCCTTTCTAATTCTTAAGGCATCCAAGTTTGCAAACATTCTGCACACTTTCCTCACCATTCCAGCTCCAGAAACGTGCATACTCAGTTGCAGAGAGGCCCCTTTGGGGAAGGAAATTTGTTGTTACCCTCTTTATTTCATCTGATAAGCTGGACCAAGCAGCTCTCTACAGTCAGCCTTTGTGCGCAGAACATCCTGTGCCTGCTAGTTAGGTACAAAAAAGCACACCCTCCTCTGCAGACTGTGCTCACCACTGTTTCTCCCAAGGCCCATGGATTGGTCCCCAGTCCTGCCCAGTGATACACTAAAGATCATTTATTGTCACTAGTTTGGTGTAGTCCATGCCACCAAACAGCTCATCCATCGAGAGGAAAAGTAACTAACCCTCTTATTTGCAGATAGAAACTCATCATAAATACCCAGAGCTTTGGTTTAAACATCCCATAGATGGTTCCTCATCTTTTAGATGCAAATCGAGTCAAATAAAGAACACCTTAAAAGCCACAAACCTGCAGGGGTGGGCTCTGGTGCTTCTGCTGCCCTCCACAATGGGAAGGAGTAGCTGATGTAGGATCTCCTTTCATACTTCCAGGGCAGGATATGCTGTGTCCTAAAGTGGAACAATGTGAACTAAACTGTGCAGAGGGTACAGAGGCAGGGAGAAAAAGAAGAGATAACTTTTGGGGGGAGGTTTTTTTTTTATGCATACAGGTCGAGGTACAGAGGTGGTAAGAGGATTCACCAGAGACAGAGTGGGGAACAGAACAGGCAGACTAATGAAGTACACTTGTGGGGAGCAGTGGGCACTCAGAAGAGATCTGCTGTGCCATGTGGGTCACCTCCAGGGCTGAGGCTCACACTGAAGTGACTGCGGCTCGCTTGCATTGCTGTGCTTTAGCCCACTGTGCCACCAAGGAGGGCCAGGAGGACATTTTCAAATATAAAAATAGCATATCATATTCTTGTTTCATTTATTATATCCCTCCAAATACACTTTTTTTTGGGGGGGGCAGGTGGAGGTCTGGAGTATTTTACATGCAAGGCATGCAATAAGGATGAATATTAAGCAGAATCTGTAAGCAGTATCCCCCTGAAAACCTGAGAGCAAACTTTGGAGTGAGTCTGTTCTTCCAGAGGGAACTTTAAATGTAGGCACTTGGGCTGCTGATTCCAGATGGCTGTAAATTCAAAGGAATGCTTCTCCTCAAGATTCAGTGGTTGCTCTCAAATGCCATAGAGCAATGATTATGACTTGGGAGGGCATTCTATCTCACTTGGAGTTCCTGGAATTTGTGGCCCCTCTGAAGGCAAGTTTCTGGGAACCTGACTTCTGCCTGTCCACTGCCTTCCAGTTACATGCCCAAGGAAGGAAACACAAAGGCATAAATGCAAACATGCCCACATAAGTAACTTATAGCATTTCCCCCCATCATAGATGTTAAATAAGGGAAAGCCTGGGCTAGGGTGAAAGTTTGGTGCTTAAGTGCCAGGGTGCACCCTTCAACTCTCTTTTGCACCTCTCTCCAGGAGCTTTCCCTGGAAGTTTTAGAAGAATTGATGTTCATGGGTCCAGCTGTGTATACCACTTGAGGAATAACAGCTGCCACACCAAATGTGAGAGCAAGCAAGTACATTTATTAAAGAAAGAGGAAAGAACTCCTGACAGCAGGAGGGGACAACAGGAGGATGTCCATTTACTCCAGCTCTGTCTATGAGGATATCCTCTCAGACTTCCTGATGCCCAATATGCCAGACTATTGAATAGGAACTAGGTGGGTGGGAAGTTTTATGGTGATGGTTTTCCTGTTCCATACTTATCCTGTAATAGAATCTTATCTAGCTGATGGCTAGCTCAGCAACACTTCAGCAAAACATTTCTGGGAGCTTTGTTCCTATATTGTTAAAAATCATTGTCCCATGACAACCTTTTCAGTTCATCCAGTCCTTACAGTCTCAGATGCAAAGGGATCTTTGCCTGGGAAGAAACTGGAAGAAAGAGTATTATCATGCTAAATATGACTTTTAGATTGTCCTAACCACCACCCTACAAATTGTTTTGAAACGATTATATCACAAAATTTCTTATACTTTGAAAAATTAAGTACAAGGAAGGCTTGGGCAGTGAGGAAAGGGAAATTATGTATGAATTGGTGAAAAGTCCTAATTATTGAATATTATTATTGAGTATTTTAAGCATTTAAAACTTACAAATCTCACACACATAACTAATAATAATTGTTAAGATAAATTTGTGGGGTATATCGCTTTATTTTTAATAGCTATTATAGTTATATCATACCATATCTATAAACAATCATAAATGATAAATGAGTATGGAATGTAGTACATTTACTACCTATTGTGAGAATTTAGTTCTGTGTTCTTCAATCAGTGTAAATATTTTCTTCCCTAGTTGTCTGTTCTGCTGGGTCAGCATTTATGTGGGATGGTGAAGAGACAATCATATAGCAATTTTTCAGAATTATGTAAAACTGGTCTGGGCTGCAGGAGTGGGGTGGAGGAGAGCACATCTAATTAGGTTCTCTACTACTAGCCACAAGTGAACATGTTTCAAATGAGCATTTGTAATATGGCTGGTTCAAACTGAGATGTGCTGGAAGGGTTAGATGTTGGATACATTCCTGGTTTCCAAGACTTAGTATACAAAAAGAATGCACACTATTTGTTAATAATGTTTAATGCTAATTATATGTTTAAGTTGTAATGTCTTGGATGTATTGGGTTATGTAAGTACATTTTACCTGTTTTTAAGATAAGTGAAATTTCCAAATGTGGCTCACATTTTACTTCTGTTGGACAGTACATGACCAAATAACTTTCCAAATTCTGAACAATATACAAAGGGAGGCTGGTCTCCTTCACAGTCCCTGGAATGGTTTGCCTGGGAAGAGTTCAAAGTCCATGACGAACTCAACCATAGTGAGTGGTAACCTCACTAGCCAAAGCCATTCCTCCCAGAGGTTCTACCTGCTCACTAACCAAAGCCAACCTCCAAAGGTTCTACATGCTCTTCTGAAAAGTGGTATGTGCTGCCTTCTATAAGATCTTGGGCTTGGAGTTGTGGATCATGCAGTGCCTCTTCTTGCTACTCATTCACTTATTTCTAGCAACAGCATATAAAGATTCTTGTGTGTCCATTTCATCCCTTCATTTTCCCAGTCCTCTGAGGTGGGTACTATCGGTTAGCTCCATATGATCTGAGGTTCCCTAGCAAGCCTGTCTGGAGCCACCCAGCACAGGTGTGACAGACAGGTCACAGGACAGAAGGGAAAAAGCAGGTCAGTCTTTTGTCAGCAGACCCCAACCATTATGGGTCCTAGCTGGCTGGCTGGCTGGCAGCAGCTCAATGGGTTATGGCCAGCTATGACAAAGGCTAGATGCTAGTAGCATCAGGCATGCTTCTGTGAGGACCAGGGTTTATGTGCTGTGTGAACCATGTTGGTTTCTCTTGGCTCTGACTAGGGAAACTAATTTAGAGTTGGGTCTGGGAGTAGTAACTACATTCAGGAGAGGTGATTACTCTGCTGACCTTTCTTTGTATCCTTGGCCTCATCACCCCCTCAATCCCTGCCTGGCCTAGCCCTAAAGACTCTGTAGTCTACAGGATTCTGTAGACTACCCCTAAAAGACACTGAAATTTAGCTCCAGATAAAGAGAAATTATCCATTTGTTCCTCTTTGGGTGGGGGATTGGGTGGATGGAAGTGACCCTGACTCTCTGAAGCCTTGTCATTTGTAATTCCTTCCATCTGGAAAATCATTTCCCCCTTTTATTCATCATCCAGCTCAATGATTCTCAGAAAAGCCTAGCTGGGCACCCTCAGACATCTCACCTTTCATTCCTTTACTTTATTGTAAATCAGTGAAAGTAATAGTAAGTAACTATTCACATCTACTCTGGCAAGACTTCAGCTTTTTTTCTCAGCACCAGTACTTCAAAAGAAGTTGCTGCTACCAGCTTCAGATACAGTCTAACATCTTGAAAATAGGAATATCCACACCCACTTAACCCCAAGTGTCCAAGCTTCATCTTGATGCAAATACATTCTTCTGGAAATTTTGACTTC